CCTGCCAGAAGGGTCACCAGGGCTGCAGCAGTACGCGGGGGGGAGAGGCTGCCTATCCTACTGAGTGCTGAGGAAAGGCTGTCACTGGTGGGCAACGGTAGGCAAACTGGTGACCAACTATTGGTTGTTCTGTGAGTGCGGCTCCCTTATGGCATGTACCTTTCTCCCCGGTTTCATCAGAGCAGTGGGCTACCAAGCAGTGAGATGTACAAGCATGGACAACTGCTGTCCTCTGCCACCAATTCACGTATGCTCTACCGCATTCAGTGCCCCCGTGCCTCAGGCAAGGTGGAAAGCGGACGGGCACCTAGATGCTACCCAGTCAGATTCTGTAGTGCTGAAATCTAGCCCTCTAGGTTTTATTGTCATCTGTGGCATTTGTCCACCACACAGGTGAGTTGTTAGAATAAAAGGGGCTTTGCATTACGCGAATGAGGCCCACACCCATCCCAAAAGTCTCGGGAAAACCCTCTGCGCTCATGGCTGTGGGTTTTTTTGCCATAATAGATACATATGACAAATTTCATTGAACTCTGCTCATCCCAACCTGTGTGACTATGCCCAAGGCACACACAAAATTCATGGAAACAAGACTTTGCATGCTGCCAACTACCCACAAATCAAAGCAGATACACAGGCTTTAATTTTCCAGGTGGAAGCAAATGGCAGGAGCGCAGCACTCACAGATTCTCCAAGATTATCTTAGTCAGCAGGTTTTTCAGATTTTGGTGGAAGTTTTCCGGGAAGAGAGAGAGGATATCTTCTGCCCTCGTCAAGCCACGGTACACGACGTGCCTGGTGAGGCTGTGCAAGGCAGACACCAGCTGTAGGAGAGGAAGAGGAGAAGGGGCTCCGCGGGGCTGAAAGGCATTACACACTGCGCGGGACCGGCCTTGGGCAGCCAGGAGAGACAGGGCTTCGGCCACCCCAGCACGGCCCGACAGCCCTCACAGGTACGGAGCGGGGGTCCTCGCTGTCCTCGGGCACGTCCCCTCGGCCCCGCAAGCCCCCCTGGGCCGCGCCTCCGG